TACTACATATAGTATGAAAATACTCACTGTAGCCTGCAAAATATCTAGATGTCAATATGGCGCAATAGTTCATATATAAGTGCATGAAGTCAGTAATTGTATACTTTTGCATAAGCAAACATATCAAACCAAGTGCTCATCGACACATGCTGACACACGAGTTCATGCAGAGTTATTCTGATATGAACATGACTAGGTGTAATAATGATATACGCTCTAGTGCTACAATCACGTGAAAACTGCGTTATTCAAGGTCATATACGAGTCGGAGTTGCCTATTGCAACCTGTACAACAGGACTGGCACCTACTTGAATCCAAGGCTAGCGTGCAATGCGGATGTGAACATACACTTGAAAGACTGGCCTTGCCCTGGGCGAGCACTAACACCGGGTGCAGCAAACGATGAGCAGATAATACAATATAGTCATGCCATAGTAATTTGATAGTTCTAATCAACATAATATCATCCATAGCCGTAGGTATAATTATTGCAACAATAAACATACGCATACATGTGCATCCCGTATGATTTATTAGAACATTGTAATTTTCCGTTATTTCGTTAATTCTTATAAGCATTAGTCTAAGCTAGGCATACTTAATAATTTCTTTTTCAATGTATAAATGGAAACTAACAAATATGTATATACTCTATAAAAGAAAAGACCTACTCACCTGAAGTTCGTGCTGCAACTCCCTAGCACGAATATCGGGACGCCAAAACGATCGTCGCCTAGAACAAATATCAAATCACAACTCAGAATTTTTATTAATAGATCATGTAACTTACATAAAATACATCCCCAATGACGTTCTAGAATGATTTGAAACCTATTGACCACAAGTCAACCGTCGGTCAAAGGTCGACGGTAGGGTCCACAACCCTACGTAACTCGATCCGGAAGATCCGTACCTCGAATTTCTTATCTGAAACTTTCAAAGATCCACATTATGCTTCTAAAACAACATACTAAAGTTTCAAAATGATCTAACAGTCGATCACCGCCAATTGCTAAAATTAAGTGGCGGCCGACGTTTAGATTTACAGACTTAGAAAACCCATCCGGGAAGATCCGTACATCAGATTCCCTATCCGTCAGATTATGTACTATTACGTATTAAAGTTTGGTGACGATCCAATGGTCAAATAGTCGAATCATATAATAACCAAGTGGCAGCCTTTAACGGAAATATAACCAAACAATGAAATTTTGTCAATCGGATGTCTAACATGAAATCGGGGGCATCCCTTTTAACCTAGGGAGGTCAAGTGGTGTCTTTGCCCATGCGCCCCCCCGATTCGCCGAAAAATTCAATTATTTCCAAAAATTCTCAAATTTTACAAGAATGAAGATCTCAACAAGTAAAGCAAGTTTTATACCTGTGGCCAAGTCCAAATTGGCTGGGAAAATCCCCAATTTCACTCAAACCCACCGGAAACCTTAGAAAATGTGAGATTTGATTTGACTCCATTGATGTTCCGACACACTTGCTAGTGTTTGGGCCTTGCTCCTGGGTTCAAGGGGAGTCAACTGGATGTGGTGGTGGGTGGTGAAACTCGCCGAAATGGCGGATCGCTACTAAGAATCGTCGGTGTCACTATTGCTAAATGCCACAAATTTGGCCCAATTTTGTCAAATCTTGGGTGAAAATGAAGGAGAAGAAGTATGGTGGTGATTACAGATGAAGGTGGGGTGAAAATATCCTGAAAAACTGTTGAGAATCATTGGAATTTCACAGGTTCAAAATCGGGTTGTCATTGGTGTACGGGTTAACAGGAAAGGGGTTTTGGTTCCCTTTTTTTTATTTTTTTTTTCTCCTTTCCCCTCCCTTCTCTTCCTTCCCATTGGTCCATCTCTCTCCCTCCTCCTTTCCGATTAGGTCTCACTCGCCTCCTTTCTCTCATCTGATTGGGCAACAACCTTCTCTTTTCTTCTTTCCCCCGTCCTTCCCTCATCGACCGTTCCCCTTCCCTTCATTCCCCTCAACCCAAAATAATAATAATAATAATAATAATAGAAACTATGAGAGATATATAAAATAATAAATGGTAATTTTTACAAAAGTACTTTTTAGATTTGTAGTTCCGTAAAATTTTAACCGTAGCTCTGAATTCGATTATGCTTGTGCCTACGAGTTTGTATCATTGAGTACTTCAAGAATACGCCAAAAGAATATTTCGTACGTCTCACTATACGTTGGTTAACAAAAATCACTACCCTCACCTCTAGGGCATTTTCATAAATTCACATTTTTAAATTTATAAAATCGTAGAACTAGGGACGGGTTGTCACACAAGTATACAAACTCATTATAATATAATTCTGTACGGACATTTTGATACTAATATTTAGGTATACTAATTCATTATAATATGTTTTGGTACAAACATTTCGGTAAAAAAAAGTTAATTTATATATATATATATATATATTTTAATTCTTAATTTACATATTTTGGTACAGTCATTTTTGTACACATATGTATTTATTTGTCTTTCTTATGTGTCACTAATTTCATTTAATGTTTTCTCATCTAGGTTTATTTATAATTGGAAGAACTAAAATATGCATATTAATAAAACAAAATTTTTAATGTGAAAAAATTAAATAAAATACACATTAAATAAAAAATAGAATATTAATTTTAATAAAAGTACATTTCAAAGGATTAAAATCAATATATAATCTAATGCCAATTTTATTTTAAATTTCAATATTTTCAAGAACTAATGTTCAAAACTCCCTAAAAAAACATACGTATATACTATTATATACTGCCTCAAGATTTTACAAAATTTGAGTCAAATTATGTTAGGAAATAGCACTTAAACCAGATTATATATGAAAATAACTCATCAGTAATAGTTGATAAGCATGGCTTTGGCTTTGGTTTTTCTCATTGATGAACAAAAATGGGGCTCCCCTCCTCTTCCCTCATGTCTTATTTGAATGGTTACGGTTAAGCTACGTCAACGTTTTGTGTTAATTTTTTAATAACCAAACGAAGACAAAAAGCAATCTGTGAGAGGAGAGGAGAGAAAGGGATGAGAATAGAAGGAGAAAGAATCCTACTCCTGAAAATGGAGGCATCACTCATGACAAAGCATGCAGAAACATCTCTGACTTACCGTGAAAAATTGGGAAGTCAATCGTCGTCATTAATTATGTTATTTTCACGACGTTACTTAATCAAAAGGAATTTATAGATTCAAGCCTGTGTCTTAAGTTTGCCAGACATCTAAAGTAAATGATTACACAAAGACATAATCTAACATGTCTTGTAAGTTTAAGATGTTTCTAGTATAATATGTAACGTTAATTAGTTCTTAATCTGGTTATATCTCTTTGTGCTCAACGCATGACTCCGTAATCTGGTTATATCTCTGCTTTCATAAGAACAAAAAAACCTTATAATTCAAGTGTTCAACCCCTTCTTAACCAAAGGCAGAGCCATAAGGGGACAAGATGGTCTCAAACCCATCCTAATATATTTTTACTCATAAAAGTTTAGTGGTACACTATAATTTTCAAGGTTTTTTCTATAGGCTTAGGTCTCCAATCCAACGTTTTTACTTCACTGTGTGTCATGGGATTTGATTTGTGGTTGGTGACTCCTATAGGCAATCCGTTTACTTGTAAGCTTTGAGGACTCTGGTCTAAGGATCAGTAGGGGTAGAGAGAGGAAGAAACTAGAAAGTCAAAGAGGTTTGGGGTTTTGGTTTACGTTTAAGGAAAAGGATTATGAGGACAATATCATGTCATACTCAAATGACGGAAGTCGGTTGCTCACCACACGACAAAGGAATTTTTGTAAGATAAAAAAAGCGTTTCGAATTGAGACTTTCTGACCCTTTCTGTTAAGAGTACAATCTCACACAGCAGCAATGCATCACAACCACCACCAGATTAGATTCCTTCACTTGGTTGTTACGCTTGGAATGTTTGTGATTAGTTATATACTTTATGCTGGCACATATAATTGTGATTCTCATTAATTCAACTGAATAATACACATGGCAACAACATGACGATGTTTTCTCTCGGCACACCCATTTTGCTCAAGAGTGTGAGGACAACTCAACTGATGGGTGATACCTTGCTCATTGAAAAAACTTTGGAGTGACTTATTCAGAAACTCACCCCCTGAATCAGACCTGATACTTTGAACTTTGAAATCAAGTAGAGTTTGAATTTTTAAAATAAAGGTCTTGAGAGTGGAGAATACATCACACTTGAAATGTAAAGGATAGAGCCAACTATATTTGGTAAAATCATCCATTATTATTATATAGAATCTGTGGCCAGTACATGAAGATATGGGAGAGGGACCCTATACATCTATGTGTAGCAATTGAAGTGGCCGAGAGGAAGTACAAGGTAAAGTGGAAAATGATAGTCTAGAAGCATTCCTTAGTTGACAGGCAGTACATACGGACAGATTATTAACAGAACCAATTACATGGAGATGATTCTTATGCACAACAGAATGTAAAGTCCCACCAGAAGGATGTCCAAGCCTACGATGCCAAGTATGTATATCAGCCTTAGCAATCATCAGAGCAGTTGGTGAGATTGCAATTCCAGATACACCATTTGAAGCATTCCAGTAGAAAGGGTACAAGCCTCCTTCACTGGGGCCCTAGAAAAGCATCTTCCCAGTGCTTAGATCTTTGACATAGAATCCGAACGGATCAAATGTCAGAGAACATCAGTTATCATATACAAACTTGTAAACAGATAACAAGTTACGGGAAGCTTGAGGAACTAACAGAACATCATTTAAACGAAAAGTAGCATGTGTGTTTCTGGGTTATAGTCTCAATCACAGTGGCTATAGGTGTTGGGATCCTATCTCTAATAGGCTCTACATTTCAAGACATGTGGTGTTTGATGAATCCTTATTTCCTTACAAATCTCTGTCTTCTCAGGTCTCACATCACAGTACATGTGTGACTCATCCTCCACCCACTCCTATATATCTCAATCTGTCTTTGCCAATGTCCCATCTTGAGAAACATACTTCAATTGCAGCTTCTTCAGAAGGCAGCAATGCATCTGCTCCATCCATATTTTCGACTGCTGAGAAGAACACTATATCTTCTTTTATTCAAGAGTCAATACATACTCCTCCAGAATCTTCCAGCCCTGAAGAGTCTCTTATTCATCTACCTCAGTCATCACCCTTACAACCTCCAGTTCCTGTAAACACTCATTCTATGATTACAAGAGCAAAGACAGGTATTCATAAACCCAAGGTGTTCACTGTCACTAAACACCATCTTCCATCCACTATTGATTCTCTTACAACATTACCTAATACTCCATCAACCTTTCTTCAAGCTTCTAAGTATTCTCACTGGATGGAAGCCATGCAATCTGAATTTCAAGCATTACAGTCCACTGGCACTTGGGAGTTAGTTCCTAATCATTCCAACTACAACCTTGTAGGCTGCAAGTGGGTCTTCAAAGTCAAGCACAAACCTGATGGTACCATTGTAAGGTACAAAGCACGACTTGTGGCTAAAGGTTTTCATCAACAGGAATGATTGGATTTCTCCGAAACCTTTAGTCCTGTTGCTAAACCTACTACCATCAGAATTCTCCTTTCCATTGCAGTTACCTATGATTGGTTTGTCCATCAATTGGATGTCAGTAATGCTTTCCTTCATGGTCACTTAAAGGAAGATGTTTATATGCTCCAGCTTCCAGGGTTTGTGGATCCTTCCAAACCTCATCATGTGTGCAAACTTCGGAAATCACTATATGGTCTTAAACAGGCCCCTAGAGCTTGGTATGAGGCTTTTTACAATGCTATTCTCTCTCTGGGATTTAGTTCATCATACTCTGATACCAGTCTCTTTATTAAACGAGACACTTCCATTACCTTTATATTGGTTTATGTTGATGATATAATCATCACTGGAAGTTCAATCATTGAGTGTAAATCAATCATATCCCAACTTCAAACCATGTTCCCTGTCAAGGATCTGGGAGATATTCATTATTTTTTAGGAATTGAAGTACACAAATCTGACAAGGGCTTGTTATTGCATCACACTAAGTATGCTTTAAACTTACTTAAAAAGACAGATATGCTTGGAGCTAAACCTTGTGCAACACCTGTGTCTACTTCCAAACTAGACCATTTCGGCACTCTTTTATCTGATCCCACTTCTTATAGGTCCACAGTTGGTGCCTTACAATATCTTACTTGGACAAGGCCTGATTTAGCTTTTGCTGTTAATCAGGTTTGCCAGTATATGCACTCTCCAAGAACAATACACTTGCAGGCAGTCAAACGCATCCTGAGATACCTTAAGGGCACTGTGGATTCCAGACTTTGGTTTACTAAAGGTCCTCAATGTCTCACTGCTTGGTCTGATGCAGATTCGGCAGGTTGCCCTGTGGATAGAAGGTCCACTAGTGGGTATTGTGTGTTCCTAGGCTCTAATCTAATCTCTTGGAGTGCTAAGAAACAAGCCATGGTGGCTAGGTGATACCATGTTGAAGTTAAGAACTCAGAGAGGGAAATTCATTTAGAGAGGGAAAGAGAGTTGTAGAGAGAGAGTAAAAATATAATTGTGATTCTCATTAATTCAACTGAATAATACACATTGTATTTATGCATAAATATCCTATCCCAATATATGTGCCAGCTCAGCATAAAGTATATAACTAATCACATTCCAAGCGTATAACAACCAAGTGAAGGAATCTAATCTGGTGGTGGTTGTGATGCATTGCTACTGTGTGAGATTGTAATCTTAACACTTTCTAAGCTAAAATCCTAACTCCACCACTATTCTTAACCATTGATTAAAAAAAAAAAGAAATGAGTTGTAAAACAAAGGCTCTACGCTCGAATATTTATAGGTCGATTGATGAACACGTTACACGTGCAATATAGTTGACTAGAAAATAAGAGTGAAAACGGGAAAGGTTTTTCTAATTAAATAGAAAATTAGTTATGTGTAATGATATGACAATGCATACAGTACTTGATTAAGTATAAACTAATCATGCTGGGTTAAATTAATTACTTAATTTGGAAGTGACCTCCTCAGTGTTGTAAATCCATGTCTGCATGCACATGCATAACCTTCGGCTTTCTTTGGCAAGATCTTAGACGGTCCAATAAACTAGTTCCCATGCAGCAGTACCGAAACGATAACTTTTAAGTCTAGGCAAGTATTGTCCCTTGCATGTGGCCTCTGGTGTTTTGCATATTCTTAGCACAAACAAAATGTGAGGAAACAAAAGGGATTATCGATGTTTGAAGTTGCATTTTTGCATTAACTCAACGGTTATTATAATTTATAAATATATAATTAGAGGGTTTGTCTTTCTGGATATTTTCCGATCCATAGTCTTATACGTATCGCCTGTACAGAATTGAATTTCACTTTATAATGATGATGAATAAGGTGATTAATTAGTAAAAGGGGGCTTTTAGATTAAATACCGTTCCTAAGAAAAAACAAATGAAAATTCTAATGACTTTAGCTAAAAGAACATTGCTCCACATTATAACAAATTTATAGACTAATGCTAGCGATATTTTAGTTTAGAGACCAAAGCTGCATTGCGCTAAAGTTTAAAGACCATTGGTCTAATTATCTCTTAATACAAATATAAAAGAAAATTTAAGGGTGACAAGGGTGGATTTGTTATCCATCGTGAAAACGAGCCATTTGCTTAAACCAGTAGCTTGAAGCTCTACCCATTTATACCATAAGTTTGTTTAGAGCAACTACGAGTCCAAAATATATAACATTTGGAGATCTATTTCCCAAACACAGTGATACAATTTTTAGTATGAAGTAATACCTTAATATAAACAAGTTTATTTGTAACCACTTAAGGTGCGTTTATTGTACCGAACTATATCGGATTAGACTAGATTTCTGACTAAGCGGGATTCACTTGACTACTTGGACTAAGCAGGTCAAAAATAATGCAATGTTTAGTGGGGTGTCATATTATGTCCTAGACTAAACGAAGCAGGACAAGAATAGTTCGAGTAGTTAAGAGAGCTATTTGCTCGTGCACACGTAATTCTTGTTCCATCTCTCCTGCTCCGATGTCGCTTGTATAATAAAAAATATCCAAATTTTTGGGGTACAATTGAAAAGATCCAAATGATCGACAACGAAGTATGATCTTTATTTTTCTCCTCGATCGTGACATTGACTTAGTAGGCGACTGTCCACTATCATGTCACAAATTTCTTTTGGTTAGTGATCTACACCTCACAACATACTGTCTTTTTGTTTGTTGGACACAACATTTTGGTTGAGAGTAAAAACTATACGTGCTCCAATTCCGAGGAACCATAAACTTAATAAGCTCATGAAATCAGGACCTACAATTTAGGCAAACCTGAAGAGATTGAGCGAGTTGATATAATTTTTTTTTAGTTTTTTTTTTAATACTATTATAGGGTGGGAAAAGAGTTCGAAACTATTACACTAATTTAGAGTAAGACTAGAAAATAAGCCCGCGTGTTGCGGCGGGAACCACTGTTTCAGGCGTAACTACATGAATAAGACACATTTAACCTGAATAAATTCAACACAATCATGAATGAACAGAAGGGCACATGAGTGAATGAGGTCGATAAGATAAGCAGCTTGACTTTTATATACATTCAACTAAGCTAACATGTAAAGACATTGCACAATTAGTAAGAAGAAACTGAGTTCAGACTTGCTAATCTATCACCTTGTCTTATAGAAACTCACTTAATACTCTCATAACCAGTTTGCTTGTACACCGTAAAGTCCATCAGTTGTTCGTATAAAGAGGTATGTAGAGGAGGAATACAATAACTATTGATGCCACTTTAGTGGGAAAAAGAAAAGCATGATGCAAAAACATATTATGCTTCCAATGATTCATCCTCGAAGACAAAAATATGAACAAAGAGAAAGAAAAGCTAATAATAATGAGAGACGTAACAGTAGCACCAATAAAACTGCACCCCGTGGAGAAACCACATAATTCACTAACCTTGATAAAGTTAGAAGTATCTGCACCCTGCCTGTCTGAATTCTTGAAAAAAGCATGAAATTTTGAAGCATTACAAAGTGTGCTTTTTAAAACTTAGACACACGGCCTTCTTCTTCTTCCGGAAATTATCAAAACTAATCAAATTGTGGAATTCCAATCGTTAAAATGACATACCATACTGAAGAAATATTGTCGTATGCCTCTCACTTCTTCAATGGAGCTATAGCTCCTTATACCAAGAACTGCAACAATTCAATCAAAAGTGAGACCAAGTTTATGCAAAGTAAATACATACAAAATAACATTATATTTGACAATATAAGACATTGAATTCCTCCCATTCAGAAGCTACATATAAAAGGTACCTTCTTTAATTCCTCTGGAAGACAACCATTAATAAGACCAATTGTCGAGCATTCCTGCATATCAAAGTGTTCTATTAGCTTCTATCTTATTGAATTCCAGCACGCTAATCTTATGTTGTTTGCTGAAATCTAATCAAAATACTTAATTGCAATAGTCTAATCATATCAAAGTCGACGAATTCAGAATATTAACCATCACAACTGATGGCATTAGAAAAAATTGTTGAGCAAGAAAAATAAACACACCCAAGAATCAAACAGTAAAATTCAAGGAGAAAAAAAGCTCAAAGCTGCAATCTTTAATAATAACATCTAACTGAAATGCTCTATAAACTTCAGCAGTTAGAAGATCACAGCAACAAATGCATCAAAAGAACAAAAAACTATATGAAAATTACAGAACCTAGATGAAAGGAAAACAAAAAAGCATCAATAAAATGAGAAACAGAAGAACTCACCTAAGAATTAGAGTCCCAAGGAAGCTGCAGGTTGATTTGATATGCCAAACTGCACTGTGTTTATATATCAATGTTTGAAACAATCTTTCAAATTTCTAAAAAAAATAATAATACTTTGAAATAATGAACAGAATCTGCCTTTTGGTCCAAAAGAGAGAAACAAATAATAAAAGAACAGAACCCTGAACCCTTTAAAGCCAATTATATGTGGGGGTGGGGTTGTGGGATCACAAAAAGTCCAAAATTTTTTTGCACGGCCCATGAAAATTAAACATGAGAACTTTGTGGCCTCCGCCTTATTTTTGAACACCAGATTTGAGCTCTGTGTGCTCAAATTAAATGAGTTCATCCAGGCATGGGCTTCAGATCTCACTAACTCTCTGCAAGCATGGGCTTCCTCCTCAATTTCCGTCATATTCTCTCTGCACTCCTCCCTCACTCAATCAGGTCAGAGAGCAGACAAATCTGATGTGGACTTCAATGTATACGAATCCATGGTTGAACTCATTTCCTGACACACTGAGTGAAAGAAATGAATCATCAAATGAAGATCCACATAATTAGTTGCATTTGACACCAAAATACCAATCATTCCAAAACACCATTGAAGCACTGAAAAATCACAAATTTCACCAAATTCAAAAGCACCCAACACCCACCAATAAAATTTGGAAAAAGTCCGATTAAAAGGATGAGATTGCTTGAAACAAAGCCCCCAAAATCACAAAAATGAAATTTTAACAGAAAACCCATTTCTAAGCCCAAACTTACACTTCTAACACATAATTTTCAAACCACAAAATTACCGACCCTAAAAAGTGAACCTGTTCGTAATGGTAGAGAAGGGTTGAGTAGTGAAACCCATATGATCAAACTCACCGAATACTGAAAAAAAAATTACAAATTAATAATTACCTCAACAGCTAACGGAGCCAAAGCCAAACCCCCATAGCTTCGAATGGCAGAAATGATAAAAGAAACATGAATAGTCCTTCTTCCTTCCCCACTACTGCTGCCACTTTCTCTCTCTAAATGAGTTACCATTACACCAAACCATTAGCATGCAAGTATTTAACTACAATGATTAGTGCTTTGCAATTGAGTCATGATACTGAATCAAAAGAATAAAAAATCATATATTCTTGGACATTTTATCATGAGATCATACCACCACAATGCTCAAAATCCTAAATTAGTATACATGTGCATACGCAAAATCTATGCTCGTCAATTCAGACCAACCCTCATACATTTGCAGCTCAAATCAGCACAGGAAAAAAATGCTAGGCATGTATGTTCCCCCAAAAGTGAATTTATCAGTCTTTGAGATGGGCAATAAAAACCCATCAACATTGTGCATTCAAGAATCATTTTCTTTAAAAAGAAAAAAATAATAAATAAATATAAAAAAAATCAGCTTTTTCAATAATGAATCCAATTAAACAGTTCAAAAGTCAACAGAGCAAAAAACAAAAATCAAGTCACTTTTTATATACATTTTAAATCAATTAGATCAATCAGATAACAGAGAGAAGATGGAATTCCACAAAAACTGTAACAAAAGTCAGCTCATTTAGGTACAATTACTACGAAGATTGAAGTCGGAAACATAAAAGGAAGTAAATTTAAATCATTTTTCCCACACTTTCCCAGCAACCAAGCAGAGAATTAAGAAATTGAAAGCAAATGAACTGATTGGCGCATTCAATTTAACCAAAGAAATACGATTTTACTACGACGGGATGAAGAAATGGGTGAGAAATTACTTACAGAGAGAGCTTCGATGACTTGTTCCAGAAAGCCAGAGAGGAGATCCTTTCTTATGAGAGAATCAAATCAGCGTTATGAACCTCACGAAATTCGCATTACAGAAACCCATCTAAAACATTTTCATTCAGAAGAATCATTAGTTTCTCTCATTCTAAATTGAGAATATGTTCAAGAATTGACCCACTGCGTACCTCATAATAAAACCTAAAACTAAAGCCAACCCAGTTCAGCAAATGAACACACTATTAGCTAAAGGGATACAAATTTTGTGATTGAATCAGATAACACATATCTACATGCAAATTGCAATCATATGAGAAATTGGTATCTCTATAACAATGTAATATTTGAACTCCAATTATCGAAATCCAATTAACAAAGACACTAATATCTGTACACAAATATAATAACCCAATAATTTAGCAAGAATGAAAAGGAAATAATATGAACAGAGAGATATGTATAATGACCCGGAGGTATACCTTACAGACAGAGTCATTCTTTCGCTTCTTCCCTCTTGACGCTGCACATAATTTCATACCAACAGTAAGAACAATGCAGATATATACACTTTCAAATTGCAAGAGAAGTTAATATAACAGGATATATTTTCAGTACCTAACCACTTGGCATCCTAATTCAAGAACCGTATTCAAGTTATGATCGTAAATGAAGAATGCATGTTGGTAAATTAGTTAACTACATTGTTACTTTTTCAGTATCCCATATCCATTATATTTACCCCTATGAAGGGTAGGACCGTTAAACCTCAAAGCTCGCCCAAAAATAGGATGGTTCATGTCACATGCTAGAATTCCACACCCTACATCTAACATTCAAGAATAAATCCAAATTTCATGATTGGGCAACAACAAAAGAAATGTTAAAAGATGATAAACCCAACCATGATAACTTTTTGGTTTAGTATGTGTTGTGTGTATTAGCTTTGCATTCTTGTCTGTTCCCTGTTTCTGGTTGAGGTACTCGTGCTTCTTCTTATTCTCGTCAGTGTTTTTCATCAGACGATCCAACCCTACCCACTCATCCCAACTGTTGAGAGAAAAAAAAAAGAGAGAAAAGGTCAATAAGATAAATGAAATCAAAAGTTTCAAGAGATATTAACCACTGAAAGCTTAAGCATTAGCCTTCATCTCCGATAAACCTCCGTCATCAGAATCAATTACAATATAATGGTCTCATAATAACATCTTTTGTGGTCTAATAAACTAAGGTGAAAGGACCACTTAAAACTGAAGTGAGATGGCAAATGATAACCGGAAAAAAAAAAAAATACAAACTGAAGTAGGGCATGGCACACCAATTAAATGAGAAATGTAAAACATTTTGAATAAAAGAAATAGAAGAACAATCACAGTAAGAGCTCCAAGAGGACATTTTAGAGACGAAATGAGCTCAAAAGTTTAGAACACGCAGGTCAAATACTTTAGTAAAATGCAATGATTTACCAATCTCACTACCACAAAGGAACAGACAACACCAATCTGAGAAATAGGAACTTCTGGATTGAATCCAAAATCACCTGGTCAATGAATTTAATAAGCTTAGTGATTAGGTTGCTGAAAGATAATTGAAATTATAAAGAAACGAAAAATGGGGTAAAATTATACACATGGAAAGACAGCGAACCCCAAACCCTTATTTTCAAACTCAATATATTAGCCATTTTTACCATGCGAACACATGAAAAGCCAAAGTTGCTGATAATGTTAACAACGACGAACACATCACAACTTGGTGTTCTCACGCAAAACACATGCAAAAGTCAATACATTTGGTTGTTTTTATTAAAGAACCAGGCTCAACTTAAGACATAACGATTGCACATTCCACCATAACAACCGCAAATAAATATACCTCAAAAGCCAAAGGGCCAAGTGCTTTGTCCAACGATCCAAGTTCCTGAAAATCGCAAACACAGCAAAGCCATTAACACTAACTCACAGAACAGCAACGAAAATAACAGCTGAGAAACAACAATGAAAATCTATTTGCGCCAATCAAACACCGCTGGAACAGGGATCATAGCAAAGGCACAACAATTAAACGATTAAAAACCACTAACTCAACCATTTTCTCGTGCAAACAAAATGGTCATCTGCATCCACTTTAAAACCATGCTTGTTCAACGATATAATCATACCAAACAGAAAGACTCAATCCATTGTTAACATCACCAACCATAATTCCCCACCAAAAAGAACACAGCTCCATACATTTGTCAGGAAATGATCACAGTCGTTGCGAACCACAGATTGCGCAACCGTAACACAACCAGATGAAACCTCAATCAAATTTTTTTCTGATAACAAAATTATGGCTCCCCCTCAATTTAAAACCGTATGTACAAACCTCTGCTCTAATTTGTACATCACACACAACAGACACGTTTTAAAACAAAAAATTACAATCATAAAACAACCAACAGAGTGATAGCATAAAAACCTCAACCATGCACCATCATCTGTGAACGAAAAAGAATCAGACGCATCATGTATTTTAGAGGAATAGATAACTGAGTATTTAATTCACACGGTCATCACCACAACAACAAAAACAATAAGCCATGAAACAAAAAAAGAGGAACCAAATAATAGGGTAATGAACAAAAATGGGCAAATTGCATACAGTTTGATTTCTGCAAAGAAGCTATAACACTGAAAGACCAACACAATGGGAAGAAAAAGAGAAAGGAAGAGCAAGTGGTATTATCAGACAGTGAAGAAAGCAGCACAAAAAATATCTGTTTTTCTGTCCCAATTTAATAATTTAAAAACATATCTTGCACTCCCAACTAAAAGTTAAATAACCGAACCAGAACCAGAACCAGACAGAAAACAAAGCAGGAAAACAAATAGGTTTCTAAGCAGGTTCAAACCAGAAACAGTGAAATAAGGGAAAATTCGGTTCAAAAGGGACACTTAGCTTTGAAAGGAATTTAAGCTGCCAGCTGGGAGAAATCCTCATCAATGCTTGCAGATATAGCTTCCAGCTGGAACCAAATCTCTGAAACCAACCCTCGGTTTGGGCGTCCATTCATGCCTCACCGCTTCTCTAAGCATACCTCACCGAGAAAAAAGAAAAGCCAAATTCCGGGCAGCCCTACCTATTGCTTTGCTCATCCTACCCCTCCCTCTCTCCTCCAATTTTTCCTTCCAGGAGTCCTGCTCTTTCTTTTCTCTGGCATCGCACGACCCCTCTCTCTTCTCTCTGCCATCGGACGACTCCTCTCTCTCTTCTCTCTCTCGCATCACACGACACCTCCCATCTCTTCTCGCTGGCATCGTTGCAGGCTAGGCCTGCTCGTGTCACCATCCATCCGAAAAACCCAACCACAAACAAAACCCACCAACCCAGTCACAACCCAAACCCGCAAAAGCCCATACAACTAAATCTGAAAAGAAAAAAGCCCAGCCGAAATCCTTAGTGAATGGCAAGTCCGTAAATAGAGTGAAATTGGGGTCCAAAAACAATGAACAGTAAAGAACAGTGCCAATTGCAATGCTTTCTTTAGACTAAAGTAATAATCTGATCTTATTGGCTCAATTTCGAAAATATTTTGTATGAAAAGAGTTTATTGCTGCATGTTTTTCCGGTTTAATGTGAACAAATAAAAAAAATACCTTACACATAATATTGTATATTTTTTTAGACAATGATAATATTCTGGATACAATCTCCTAAATCCGAAGAGATTTCAACAAAACATAAAACGCCAACTTGGCCAAACTATTTACCACCGTATTGGTGGATTCGAGGGCAAGAAGCATCCAAGTTTTGAATTCATCCACACTCAAAAAATTGAGATGACACTAAAAATCCAAATTAACTCCATTCCAGGTGAAAAGGGTCAAACACTTCATGATTTGGCACTTAAGGAAATTTTGCAAGAAAAAACTGCTTTATAACAAATATGAGAACACTCTTTGACAATGAGCAGCTCCAACTCCAAAGAGGAACTGGAAAGGAACCAATTAGTGTCCATACCAATATGAATTTTGTGCTCAACACCATTAGCAAAACCACCAGAAACAGCAAAGTAGACCCAATATCAGCTCATAACACATGAATACAAAATTACAATAATTATTAGGAGATAGTCACTAATAACCTCACCAAGGAGGCACTTATAGACGAAAATACTAAAACGAAAAACAAAAATGCAACAATCAATTAAAAAAAAGGAAGGAGGAAGGCTAGCAAAAGGGGGTGCCACCGGCCCCAAGTCACAGCAAGGGCCGATGGCTATGGAGTTTTTAGATCTATTTTGGAAAAGAGAGAAAATTAGTATAGCATAACAATACATAATATTGTATATTGAATTGAAACATCACAATAGCGATGAACCAGCTTTTATGTAGATTATTTTCTTAAAAAGGTGGTACTATCCACACATTTCTTTTTACCTCCCACACACCGTCTCTTAATTTTTGTCATTTGATCATCTTCAATCAGTTCAATCCAAAAATTGAAAATTAGAAAACGTACATAATGTAAAAAAAATGACGTGTACATAACACTATCCTTTCTAAATTTGGGTTTGAAAGCACATGTGTACTAGAAGCTCCATTTTGTCGCTAAAATCAAGGATCCAATTATGAGATTCCACAAAGGTAGGTTAAATGTGGGCTTCTCATCATTTCATGGGCCCACAGAGTTGGTGTTCCTTCCTTTTATTTATGTCGACCCAACCTTCAGCCGGGTAACATGCAATTTAGGTCCCTTTTGGATCAAAGCCACATCGACAGATATACACGCGGCATCAATCTAATTTGCTTAGGACTTGGCAGTTGAATTTAAGAATTAGAAAATCCGAGCTGTTGGTTTTGTTTGCAAGAAAAATCGAAGCCCTTTACCTGTGTGAGATGAACCAGCAAAATAAGTCAATGAGGGCGTTTAATTCAATTTGAGTGGTTCGAATTGCTAGACCGGTGCTGAGGTTCCCATCAGGTACAAAATAGACAAAGAACAAAAGTTAAAAGTACGGGAAAGTACGAAGAGATTCTTTTGCAATCAATATATTGTCTTAGCAACATTGTCATTGATATAAATAATTGTTATGATTTCATATGAGAAGTGTTATTGGCACTCCAAAAATCTCATTCTACACTCTTCACAAGTGTATTTTTTTTTCTAAATATAGAAAGTTTAAAGTGTAAAATGAGAATTTTTGAATGCTAATAACAATTCTCTTTCATATGACAAACTATTATTTGTTAGATAATTGTTACGGGGTGTCTCTTCTTGACTGCAAGAATCTGTCTAAAGTATGGGTGAATGTTTTCAAAAAAAAAAAAAAGTATGGGTGAATGGGAAATAAAAGAGCCAAAGTCAAAGCAAAAAAGATCTTCAAATTACACAAATGTGGGTGGAATTGTATGACAATTTACACAAACGTGGTTTTTCACCCCCAGTAATAGTGACATCTGACCTAGCAGAAAAAGAAAACAAATAGGCCATAGAATGATTATGGTACTTTGTATTTTTGGCTGTGATGCCAGGTACTTGAACATTAGCTCGAGGCATTTTCTCTACCCTTTCTTACTCTGAGAATTCAGGGGCAACCCGTGTCCGTGAACAGTTGAACCAATAACCATCTTTAGGCTAACCTAACCTCCTCCGTTCCCCGGGAACAACAAGGGTAGTATAGGAATATTCACCTGCACTCTCCTTCCTAAGTATCAATGAGAAGGACACATGTCACTCACGAGCTAATTAGATAGAATAGATTAGTAAAAGTAGGTCATTGTCCTTGAATCGCAACAATTAGTAAACTGAGTCAAATCGCGACAGCTCAAGCTTCAAACCATAAGAACCAAAGTGAAACTTCACTCAAATTACATGAACTAAAATCATAACCTGGCCAAGATAAAAAGTAATTCTGGAACAATACCATCAATCTATATCATATTCAATCAAAATTCATATAATTCTCTTACAAGTTCTCAACTTCCATCGTTTTTTATTGATACCAGTTCATCAAAAAGGTTCGAAAGTAACGTTTCGAATCTGGTCTCTAATCTATTAAAACCCCTTGTGTAAGGATATTATATACTTGAGGCGGAGACGGAGAGATGGACTGTGAAGTAATGAAATAAATACCATGTTGGCCCTTGTTTTGGACATGAAATAAGGGATTTAACACTGGCCTTGCAGTAATGTCATGTACAAATTGCTGAGTGGATCACATACCTTCCTTTTAGTGTTTCCCTCACATTTCTCAGCAGATTAGACCACGGAAAACCGTTAATAGGCATTTTCCAGAGAACTGAAGAGATCAACTAGGGAGTAGGAAGCCACCCTCTCATTCAAACAGTCGCAATACCTGAGATCAGGAACATAATTCCTGCAACAAGCAAAGGAATTTTACTGTTATTAATTCATGTACTTAAGACCAAAAACAAAGGGTAACTGAATTCTAATGTTTTAATGTAGAGTTGCATACTCAGAAAGTGCAGTGATCTCTTAAGATGGTTCGAGCAAGATCAACCGCTCCACTCTTTTTGTAGATGAGATGCAAATTAAAAGCTGCTTCTCTGCGAAGGTCACAGTAACCCAATTTTTTATTTTCAGCAGACTCTGACTTTTCATGGGGAAGCTTTGGCATGGGGTAATCCTTCACTTGCATTGCAAGAACTTTGTCATAATGCCAAGCTGCCAGAGTCACAAGGCCGACTTGATGGTACGCCCTGGCTATGTTGTAAAAAGCCTCCTGGCTGAATTCACAAAGCTGCAAGTTGTTGTGGAGGAATGCTAAGCCTTGTGCAACACACTGGTGCCTATTCTGAAGTCTATGTCCAAGGGCTAAGTTGACTAAGGCAGTACCAACACAGAGATTAATAAGGGGATTCTCTGGCAATAATTTATAAGCTTCAAGGTATTCTCTCACAGCATCTTGATGACGGCTTTTTTTTAGTAAAATGATGCCCAGAAATGAGACTGGGAGGTGCACAGTCTTTGAGTTTGTCTCTCTTATTGCGTAGAAACTTGTAATGCCTCGCATACCAGTCATCTAATCTGGTAATTACTTTGTAATAGCAATTCCAGGCAGCATTGCTGTATGGATGCTGGTCTGCAATGTATTTTACACAGTTAACCCCATGCTCAGGATCAGGTGTGTTGTATGCAATTTGAGCTCCAAGAGACCTGAGTTCTTCCGCAACAGAAGACATGTTGCGAGTCGCCTTCAAGAAAGATTTATTATCTCCAATGCTTCGCAATATCTTTGCAAGGAGGCCAGTGACTTACACAAATCTATTATGAGGTCGTTATGCTCTTTATCCTTGAGAAGATCTGGCAGGGGAGGTTCTTTATGTATTTCTTCTGGAGGATCATCATCTGAATCATCACTCTGCCAGTCAACTCCAGAAGCCATGGCCTCAGCTCTTTTATCTTCCTTTACTTTTGCCTTCTTCTGAAGCAACTTCTTCGCTCTTGCAGCTTTAAGCAGATCTGAAGCAGGAGCTACTGGTCTAGATCTACACAATAGGTTCTCTTTTTGGTGATCCTCCAGGACTTTGACTCTTTCTAACAGGACAGT